GTATCCAGGGCCGAAACCCACTGCAGCACAGCCAGACGTGGACTTGTTGTTTATCTTGCCGTGAGGCACTTCCGGTATTTACTGGAAGGTCGAGAGTTTGCAATTTTCACAGATCATAAGCCACTCACCTTTGCTCTGCATTCCCACTCTGAAAAACTAAACCCCTGGGAGATCCGCCACCTGGACTACATTTCGCAGTTCACTTCAGACATCCGCCATACTGACGAGTCACGGAATGAGGTGGCTGACGCACTGTCCAGGCCCTATATCGCTCACCTCTAGCTTTCAACCGACATCGACCTCGCTGAGATGGCCGCTAAACAACACCGTATTGGTTCACCCTGTGATGAAGATGTTTCCGGGCTCCAACTTCAGGAACTACCACTGACAACTGGTAACGGCACCATTCTATGCGACCTATCCACCCCATTCCATCGTCCATTTGTCCCACCATCTCCCCGCCGTAACGTTTTCTCCTCCCTGCACAATCTATCTCTCCCTTGGAGTTGGGCTACCGATAAGCTGGTTTCCGACCGCTTCGTCTGGTCTGGGACGCGTAAGGACCTCAAAGCATGGATATGGGCTTGTATCGCCCATCAACGGAGTAGGATCCAGCGACACAACAAGGCCCCCATTGGCACCTTCCCCGGCCTTGGTGCAAGGTTCTGTCACGTTCACCTCGACATTGTATGTCCCCTGCCTCTGTTCAGTGGTTGTTCTTATCTCCTCACTTGTGTGGATCGGTTCAATAGATGGCCTGAAGCTATTCCCTGCCTGGCATTGCTGCTCCAATGGTGGTCAAGGTTTTTTTCAGTCGTTGGGTTGCCATCTTTGGTGCACCCTTCACTGTCATGACTGACTGCGGTGTCCAGCTTGAGTCTAACCTCCTCCTGTCTCTCCTCCCATTTTTAAACTGTACCCGCACCCGGAGGACAGCCTATCACCCGGCTACCAACGGGAGGGTTGAGCGGTTTCACTGCCAGTTGAAAACCTCTCTACGCGCCGCGGATGATCCCGAGAATTGGACAGGCAATCTTCCTCTGAACCTCTTAGCATCCGTTTTGCTCTCAAGCCTGACCTTGACTGTTCCGATGCTGAAATGGTCTTCGGCGCCACTGTCCGACTTACTGGTGAGATAATCTCGCCAAATCCTCGTGGCGTGGTCGGGGATCCCAACAGCCTCCTGCATCGACTCCGGCAGCTGATGCGGACACCTTCTCTGGTTCCGCCCAGGTCTTCCGCCTCTCCGTCTTATCTCGAGAAGGACTTGGCCGTGGGGGCTTACGTCTACCTTCGATATGGTCGAGTCCGCTGGCCTCTGGAACCGCCCTATGACGGCCTCTTCCGGGTCCTCTCTCGAAGGACGAAGGCGTTTCACATTTAAGGCGCCAACCGTGGGGAGGTCATGAGTATGAACCGCCTTAAAGCCTCTGTCCCGGACTTTCTTTCGGACGAGCCCTGTGATACCAGACCCTCTGCTCCCCATCTCCTTCAGTCTCTATTTCGCCGTCCCGTATTTTCCCTCTTCCCCCTCTCCGCTACTTCCGACTGCTACTTCTAACTCCAATACTTCCGCACTACGACGTATCCACTCTTCTACGGAACCTGTATATATCACTCGCAGTGGTCGTCATGTCCACTTTCCTAATCGGGTGATCACTCATTTCTTTTAGACATGCGCACATCCTTCGGAGTTGTTTCCTCCGCCGTCCGGTCCCAGAGGAGGGTACTGTGCCGAGGCGTCACACTATCTTGCTTTTACCTACCGCTTCACCATTCTTCAACTTACTGTTTGTTTAGCTGAATGGTAGAAATTCGGCTCAAAGCGACACGCTTGTCGTTTGACATTAAATTATCAATTTTTTTAATTACTCCTGTCTTATCCTAAAATCCGTACTCTGGGATTGGCAATCGTGCCCGTCGCGTCCGCAACAGGAGTATGATTGTCGACAGCTAGAAGTTTCCCAAATCGTAAGGCAAGTAAGGCAGTTAAATGGACAAGCTTTTACTGAGGCAGAAAGTGTACAGGCATCTCAGCAAACAGAGTCGCCAGCGTTATCATCTGGCAGGCGTGTGTGGGTTTCAGGTTATTGGGCCCCGGTGCTGAACATGCATGCCTTTGTCTGAGCCATGTCCGCCTGCAATCAATCATCAAAGGCGCAGTGCTGATTGACCTTGAGACTTAACAAGCGTAGTTCCAAGCTATAGGCAATTGAAGCAGCAAATTGGCCTGCAGCGTAGGGCCGGCAGAAAGGAGACGTGAGTAAGTGGACGCGCTGGCGATGACAAGAGCAGGCTGCCAGAACCCTGCCAGTCACCTTTTATAGGCAACAATTTCCTGTCAGGATAATGAGATACAGGCGGAGCACTATTCATTCAGTAACCGATGGGAAGAGGATTCAAGTTGCAAAAAGCTTCAGAATCAACAGGCTGTTTTTTTACTTTGTGATGATCTGTAAGGAACCACGTCGTAAATTATTATATAGCTGGGATCAGAACTAACATACCAACTTTCCAATTCAGTCAAACTCAACTAAATTCTCCACTTGCAAATTCTCGTAACGTCTGAATTATTTTCGAACTATCCCGTCCCATGCCTTGATATTGTCCTGTGGATAAATCACATGGCTAACTCATGTTCTTGTCCCAGCAGTAAAAATCACCCGTGGACCTTAACTGCTATGGCACCAGGCCAAGTACTAATAAGGAGAAGGCCGGAAACAGCAGTAAAAGAATTTAGCTTGCTAAGAAGACTGAAATGTTGTCTCGACAACGCGCGCCCGGTTGGAGAACTAAGGGCGGTGCTAGTTTGCGAGTCAGTCAAAACAAATGCGCACCCTGACCGTGCTATCACGTGAGCCTCCGAGCGCCAGGACAAATAAATCATTGACGGAAGGGGTACGGTGCAGGCAAAGGTTTTTGTCCTAACCCAGGTACGGAAACAACACATGTGAACAGTATTGGAAATTTGGCCAATGCGACGAGGTGAGCAGCATGCACACTTTTTCTTTCTCTGGGGTTTTCAAAATGACTACAGATAAGAAAAGTTGCTTTCGCACTTTAACAGGAACTTGTTTCAGTGTCACCAGATGGGTAGAGCGCTGAGATGTTAGGAAAGAAGCAGATTCGATTCGTAGAGTTGGTTTGTCACTGGATGTGTAGACTCTGCACTGTGTAGTTCGATCCTGTTGGTCAAACCTTCTGGGCACACACTTTGACAAGATTCTTCTGGACAAAATCATGGTCGTAAGTTTGGCTTTAGATGTTGGAGGTCTTCCTCAGACATGTGGCAGTTGCTTGAAGCCGCACCCGTCAGGTGGCTAATGTAAATGCGAATTAACAATAACCCCAGCAAGTTACTTCGTCCGTCGTGGCCCTTGATGGCGACTACTCTCCCGAGGACACAATGAATTTAATTTAATTTATAGTGAAGCTGACTTGCGCTGCATCTACCTCGTTCTCCGTTTCTATATCGATCACGTTTCAGTGACGTGTGAAGATAGATGTAGGCGCAGTAACTAGCGTATCTGAATTTACGCCTACGCGTCCTGTAGCGACAGAGAGAGGGAATAAGTGCTCTGAGCGCTACAATTATCAAGTCCAATCCCAGATTGTAAGGAGAAGTCAGAAAGCACCAGAATGAGGGATTTATTGTGCACAGAACCCGGAGTCGTCCTCTCAGGCAGCAGTGACCACTGGCGAAGCCAGGGCTGATGTTGACTGCGTCCAGTCACGCCCGAGAGTCCTTGCGATAGAGGTGGCAGCCGCTTTTGTAGGCTTGTAGGCCAAGCTCAAGTGGTGGCCAGTCAACGTGCGTTGCATTTGCCGAGGGGTGGTGCCCCAGTGGCTTGTTTTGCTGGTTGCAGCGGGTGGCGCGTTCAAGTGGCCGCATGGGCAGCTGCGACTGCGGGGACGCAGGTATGCCCGAGCTGTTGGTCGTGTGACTTCAGGTCAGCTCGTCTGGTACGGCTCGCTGTAAGGGGTGAATGACCTTGAGACAGCGAGGTCTTGAACAATGACGACGGACCAGTCATGTTGGCTAACCGCCACAGTCCCACGTACGCCCTGGCACTTACACGCAGACCAGGCCTTCGGGAGATGACCTCTGCTTTCCAATCGGAGAGGGGTACCAGCATTTCGCGACCGTTCTGGTGTTTCAGTCACTTTGCAATTGCGCCACGTACCGACTGTTGTTACATGCCGCCCATGTAGACGCTCCCTTAGTTCTTCCGCAGAACCGCTAATCGCTTGTGCCCACCCGACTGTGCTTCGCCATAGCAAAGACTGCCTACTTTATTTTATCTTCCAAATTTTGCATTAAGAGAATACTTTATGCCAGCATGAGAATAGTCACTCTTCACACAGCAACCTGACCGCAAACAGTGTTTCACCGCAAGCACGGCATATAATAACCCTAATTTCAACCTCCCTCAACTGTAGGACTCTCGGAAATGGTCGCTCATCTGACCAAGATTTATGTCTTAATCAGACCTCCTCTCTCTCGTGTGATATCCTCCAAATCTGCTTTCCATCCTCCTCTTGGGCTGTTTGAATCGCAGGCAAGACAAACCGACACACGACTCCACTTCTCTATGGCAACAGGAAATCTAGCCTTCATTTCGGGACTTAGCCACACCAGATTGTAGGTACGACGTCTCCTCATCTTCATCCTGCTCGGGCACAGCCACCACCAGTGAGAACAATACCAATCTTGGTGCAAGGACACACTGCTCTCTCTTCCATTGAAACATCAGTTCGAGGCGTAAAGCACCAGAAAATCTGATCCGCCATTCTGGTTCGCCATTTTACGCGACTGTGGGACGTGGCAGTCCGCAGAATGCAGCTTCGTGAATCCGCAGGTGAGAGCTAATTGCCAGGTGTGGACAGCACGGAATGGCCACTTCGTACAGTGCAGTACTCAATACAACTGAAGTCGAGCAAGCTGCCCTCTCCATCTAGACACCCCATGTACCTCGGTCTTAACACAGAACCTTGAAGAAAATCTCCGTATACTAACAGCTCCGGTGACGTAGCTTCTCGTGCTTGTGTCCGGTTGATCGCGTCTGGAGCTAGTTTCCATTCATTAAGCAGTCGGCGGTTGATTGTGTCGAAGACGCTGTTGAGGGTCAGGGAGTCATTGTTGGTATCTTTCCACTTGCCAAGGCCACCTGATCTGGGGTTTTCTTTTTATTGAGGAAGCTCGTTAGGCACGACCATGCACTACGCCAAATGTAGTTATCAGTTTGTGTCCGTACTGTACATACTGCATATGCATCGATGAGGCTGGTTCAGGGGGCTTCAGAAAGGACCGGCGTAAGAGCCTGTAATGACACAAACTTCTCCCTTAGCGTAACAAAAAGGCCCTTTAGATGACGCAAAATAAAATTACGAAGTACGCTTACGCTACCGCATAGTACCGATGCAAAAGCCCGTGCGGTATAACTGGCGTTTATTTTGGTTGTGTACGTGGAACGATTGAGCAAACTGCACGTCTCTTAAGGGACCTAGTCATGTACGATTTGTCTTTTTCTGTTCTAGCATATGCATCCAAAGTACCTTCTTTGATTACCTCTGGTAGGAGCTGCTATGCCATTTTCGTGAGTTATTCGATTACGTTGTATCGTACCAGAAATTCTCGTTCTCCTCTTATTACATATTGAAAAGTTTGTTCGAAAATTTCTGTCTGTAGTAGAGGCTCCGGAATTTGTTCATCTCGGCAAGATGCCGTCAAATCTTCCACGCAAATCAATGGGCAGCGGCTTCTGGGCGTTCGAAAATTTCTTGCCAGTGCACAGAAATCGACGAGTCCCTACGCAACTACTGCATGGGTTCTTTCCTAAATCTGTTGCTGTGCTGCGCAATCATATCTAGATTATTTGCACGTCAGTATGACTTCATGTGATTGCAGTGTCGTAAAGACTTGGGGAAGGTAACTTCAATAGGAACTAATAAAATAACAGGGTCATTTTATTTAGCAATTGACAATAACACAAAACCGCCACAGGACGGAAATTGTTTCCTGCGAAACCGTTTGGGACCGCTTGCTTCTAGGTCTAGATGGTTTTTTGTGACACAGTTACCAATATACTTTCAAAGGAGTTATCGCGGCCTTTCAGGGCGGCATTCGGTCAGCCAAGCAACGAAACACCGAAGCGTCCAAAATAATGGCTTCCGGGTTATCTTATGATAGTGTATCAAAAGGCTGTGGGTCTTCATCAGCTTGCGAGTCCAGGCTAGGATAGGCAGGTATGAACAATAATGCAGCATAGGGGGCGACAGTGAGGTGAAGAACCCCACTTGACTGTCGGTAGACTGTGGTTCGTGTCCTATGCGAATAGCGGCAATGGGGATTTTGTAGGCGGAGCAGCATGCCGAACAGTAAGCTGACGAAAGGCAAGAAAACACAGAAATTTGCCTTGTTTTATTTCCGAGGAAACTAATGAGCGAACTTGGTGCAAATCTTTCGAAACCGACCTTTTCAGGCACGGTCCAAAGTTTGATATGAATATTTGAGCTGAAATCCGTCAGCCGCTGCGGAATAACCGCTTAATATATATTCCGCAGTAGCTGATGGATTTCAGCTCAAATAATCCTATCAAACTTTGGACCGTGCCTGAAAAGGTCGGTTTCGAAAGATTTGCTTTAAGCTCGCGCATTTATTGCCTCGGAAATTAAACAAGGCAAGTTGAAGCTGGAGTTCATGTACCAGAAAAGACACGGAAAAGCTGGGGGACCCACCGACGAGCCGAACGCCTCGCAGCTGCGTCAGGCAGCGGCATAAGATCGGCGAAACACGCGTGGCTGGGCTTTTAGCTAATACCTGCGTTGTTAGTACGGAAAATCATTGCACAGTTCAACAGAGAAATTGTTCGGATTTCTGCCTAATGTCTTGTCGTACGCTTTCGTATGCCAACGGAAATTAACCTGTTACTTATAAAATACGCAAAAAACGAAGTTTCGAGAAATAACAGAGTCAGATTAATGATGTGAGGTCATTGGAATCAAGTGTTGTTGACGTTGTAATGTCTGCGACGGCCTGTATCTAATTATCATGACAGGAAATTGTTGCCTATAAAAGGTGACTGGCAGGGTTCTGGCAGTCTGCTCTTGTCATCGCCAGCGCGTCCATTTACTCACGTCTCCTTTCTGTCGGCTCCACGCTTCAGTCCAATTTGCTGCTTGAATTGCCTATAGCTTGGAACTGGGCTTGTGAAGTCTCAAGGTCAATCAGCACTGCGCCTTTGATGATTAATTGCAGGCGGACATAGCTCAGACAAAGGCATGCACGTTCAGCACCGGGCCCAATAACCTCAAATCCACACACGCCTGCCAGATGATAACGCTGGCGACTCTGTTTGCTGAGCTGCCTGTACACTTTCTGTCTCAGTAAAAGCTTGTTCATTTAACTGCCTTCTCCGCCTTCCGATTAGGGAAACTTCTAGTTGTCGACAATCATACCCCTGTAGCGAACGCGAAGAACGCGATTGCCAGTCCCAGATATTGGATAGTAGGAGAAGACAGGAGTGATGAAAAATTGATACGTTAATGTCAGACGACAGGCGTGTCGCTCTGAGCCGAATTTCTTCCATTCAGCTAAACAAACAGTAAGTTCAAGAATGGTGAACAGGTGGGTAAATGCAAGATAGTCTGGAGCCTCGAAACACCTCGGCAAGTGCCGACGTCGCCTGAACACCAGTTATCTCCCCTCCAACTCGGAACTATTGTCAGGCGTTGATGGCGAACAATTTCCCATCAGACGCGCAATTTATTTTGGCACACTCTTCTGACATTTATTCGGCTGCACAACTCACGCAGATTGACGAGCGGTTGATGAAGATGCGCGTTTTCGTCAAGCCTTTCCCTTGTCGCACCGCAGCTCCCATCTTGAACGTGAGGTCCAGAGAATTCCTCTATATCGACCTAGCGCAGCTACCGCTTTCTGATGCCATACCGCATTCGGTGACGAAGGTTGTCGCTGCAACCCTCCCTGATCTTTCTTTCACCTTGAGGCAGAAGCAACGGGTGAAACATGCCAGCACAATGACCAGTGCAGTTAATATCCCAGACTTCTCTGGCTCTGGTCAATCATGCTGTCTGCGACAGTCTGACTCGCAGAAGGTTCCTCATGGACACCGGGGGCCAGAGTGGCGTGCGACCTCTCACTCCAGTCGAAAACCGCTGCCCCAACCCTGGTCTCCTCCTCCACGTTACCAAGTGTTTCCCATCCTCACATTTGACAGTATGTCCCTCTTCCTGAACATCGGCCTTTGTCAGTCGTTCTCCTGGATCTTCGTGATTGCTAATGTCCCCATGCAATCCTCGGCTCGAACGACCTAATCGAGTTTGATCACCTGTCTACTGGACTGTCGACGTGTCCGACAGTTTGGCTATATGGTTGCCCTATGTGTTGGCGGGTTGTCTCCGGTCACAAACTCCTGTAACTTATCTGTCCTAGATACAGATGTGGATTGTCCTTGTCGAGAGCTCCTTCACCAACATCCGAGCATCAACAACCACCACTTTCAACGTCGCGAGCTCCAACACGGTGTGCTGCACCACATTCGCACCTCATGTCCTCCTGTGTTCGCTCGACGTAGACTACTTTCGTCGGTCCGACTGCGGGACGCGAAGGCGAAGTTTGAACGGCGGCTGCAATTGGGCATCATTCTACCGTTCGATAGCCCCTGGGTGATCCTACGCACATGGTTCCTAAGATGGCATCAGCTGACTGACAACTCTATGACAATTGCCATGCCCTCAAATACACCACCATTTGCGAATGGTACTCACTGCTTCATTTTCTGAACTTTATTGGAGCTGACTTCGGCAAAATCATTTTCTCCATGATGGACCTTGCGTGCGTCTCCAACCAGATACCTGTCGCCCCAAATAATATCCCAAAATTGCTGTCACTACTACATTTGGCCTTTTCGAATTCATCCACACGCCCTGGGCCTTCGCGATGCCGCCCAGACTTTGCAGAGATTCATCGATCATGTCTTATGTGGTCGGCCGTTTGTGTAGGCCTAAGTCGATGGCCGGCTGGTGGCGAGTCAGAGTGCTGATGAACACAAGGATTACAGCGCCTTCGTGTTTTACGTCATCCACAAGTGCAGCGTTATCGTCAACCCATCCAAGTGCGCTTTTGGTAGGTTTTCTCTTGAATTCCATGGCATTATGTCGATTCAGAAGGCTGGCACCCTACCCCTTCCATGGTTGAAACCATTCTTGATTCTCCGCTACCGGCCTCCAAGCCTCAACTGCAACGCTTCCTCGACATGATCAACCTCTATCTCCGGTTCCTACCAAACTGCGCTGACCTCATACTGCCGCCCACCAACATGCTTTCTCAACCCAAGGGTCCCCACGTGTCTACTGGTGACTCGTTGACTGTTATTAAAAGTATCAAAGCTTCTCTGACTGACGCTACCTCGCTCACACATCCCACAGCCGAGGCACCTTTGTCGCTATTGGTAGGCACTTTGACCTTAGCCGTTCGCGCAGTCTTGCTGGCTCGATCCAGCCATTGCTCTTCATCTCCAAGAAATGCTTGCCACCTGAGATGCGTTACATTATCTTTGGCCGTGAACTACTTCTCACCTACTTGTCTGAGAAGCATTTCCGACACTTTTTGGAGGTCATGACGTCGTCATTTCCACGGACCGTGAGCCCCTTGCACTTGTCCTTCAGTCTCGCCCTGATAAATGTAATCCGAGAGGGTTCACCTACCAGGACAACGTCTTGCAATCCTCCACCAAAATCTGCCATATTGGTGGCTCGAAGAATGCGGCGACTTACGTACTACCCAGGCCTTCCATCTCCGCGCTTCAGTTCTTACATAGGCTCAACCTGCTGCCATACCGGCCGAGCCCCTATGAGTAGGATGTCATGACAACAGGCTAGTTAGTGGTCTCGAGTCAGCAGGCGTTCCTCTAACCACAGGTGCTGGCAAGACACCTTGTGAGGTCTGGGCTCCTGCCCATTTCACCTTTGTGCCCGCCTCGGTGTATCGAGCTGTATTTCAATCACTTTATATGCTCTCACATCCTGGGACCGAAGCCTCACAAAATGCTCCTCACAGAAAGGTTCGCTGGGTTTGTCATGAAGAAGGACGTGAATGCTCGGTGCCTTCGTGTCTCAGTTGCCAGCGGATCAAGGTTCAGCGCCACAACAAGTCTCCTCCCGGCACCTTCCTCAGCAACGGCACACGGCTCAGTCCTGTTCACCTGGATGTCGTAGGCCACTTGCCTTCATCGAATGGCTACACTCGCCTCCTTACCTGTGTCGATCAGTAGGCCCACTGGATCGAAGTAATTCGTCTGTCGAATGCGGAGAATGATATCATCGTCAAGGCTCTCGTCAGTCGCCGCGTCACCATTTCTAGCGGATGCCAGTTAAGGGTCGTGCGTATCAATAATCACGACCAAGAGAATCGTGGAGCGACCTGACTCGCCTGTACTGTGTACTCCCGAACTGAACACTCCTATGGCCCTTTCAGGTTGTTAGACAATGCTTGAATCACGGACAGAGACAAGACTTGAGGGACAGCAATGAGGTCAAACCAAAAATCCTATCTTCACTTGATATCGCAGTTGCTTTTGCGAGTCCTCTAATATACGCAATATGACAGTCGCCCTCCTGGTGTAGGCGAACCAAGCACTGCTTGTGCGAGAACCAGCTAATGACCGGTTGACGTACGCATGAACTGGAGAGCACTTGACTACGCTTTGCATCGTCCGTGTTTTCTCTCCAGCGTAATAAATGAACATCCTACCTGCGGCCGCTCTAACTGTTTGAAAATGTTCATTTCTGCAATCAGCCGATTTCTACTGACAACTGAAGTGGTGGGACTGGGACAGGTGACTCAGCGAAAAGCACCCTGTAGATCGCTTTAGGCTTGACTCTCGACAAGCGAATGATAAGAGAGGGTCGAGTTTTGATGAATACCACCGGTTATTCATCAATGACACGTGGTTTCGACATTAGCTCCTGCAGTTACTGAAATGGTATCCCAACGGTCGTCCAGCAGCTAACCATTTTGACCATATTTTAATCCGTTCAGGGTCTGGTTGCTTGGTTCTTGGTAGTGGATCGATGAGGGGCGCTGAAACTTGCAACTACTATGCGTCAGGTCATGTTCTCGTTTGCAAGCGCAAGAAAGTCCACATGCCGACGTTTAGGTGTCGCAGAATTGCAATACCCTAATGCAGGGAGAGCTTAGAATACGGGAATCCAGTCTCCCTTTGTAGAACTCGTCGAAGAGCTAAAAGAGCGATTGGCTATTGTCGATGCACTCGGTCAGTGGGGTAGAACAAGAAAGACTTAAATCGGCTTAGCGACGCCACAGTTATTGGGTCGGCAGCAGAACTTTACCGTCATCTGCCCAGAGAGAACTGACCGATAATCGCAACGAAGATTCACTCCACCACCTCTGGAGAGCGACGGACAGACCGTCTAACTATGACCCCAAACTACGCTGCTAATTTGACGGCCTCTGCAAGGTGTTTCGAAACTCTTTGTGACACACGAAAACACTAGCGACTTATTCGTAAAATTACCTGCAGTTGATTTGCGGCTTTAAGGATTGTGTGTATCTGCTAGGTCATGATTCATCAAACCATGGTCTTTGCAGTCTGGTGTGTGCTGACATGTTTGGAATCATCTGCTGGGGCGACAAAAAACGACAACGTTGCTGGACACGTCTGGACTTTGAGCGAAAATTACAAAATCGCGTGTAGCTACGCGAAGTCCTGAGACTGGTTATCGATTAAGCCTTGTCGGTGCGTAAGTAGACTGGCGGGCCAACAGCAAAGAATTTCCGGACCTTTGGCGATCCGATACTTACTGGATCGATCGGAAGTCAACCTATGAGGGCCCTAGGAATCCGTATCACATGCGACCCTTGTCAATGGCGTAAATGAATTTAGTGGCTTGGATGTGGGGGGGGGGGTGATGGGGTGCGAGCGTGTTGTTCATAGAACTGAATACCAAATGCGTAGGGGAAGTTCTGACTGGGAAATACAGGCATATTTATAAATCCCTAGTAGGCTATACTCACAGGCACATTTTTTGCTACACACCGACTTAATCCAATATCTGCCGCGGTGACCCCGAACGCGCAGTGTGTGCCGACACGTCCTGTTATCCTGTTCCCTGTCTCATTTTCTCCCTCATACTTGCGTAGTCATGTGGCGAGTGCACATGCATTCTTGTAAGCGGTCAAAGCTAAATCGGTTCGTATCCCTAATGAATAAAGTCGTGACCCATAGGAGAATTTGGAAGCCGCCTGAAATATTTAATCAGCCTTGTCTAGGGCTGCACTGTTTACCCTTTCGCTAGAAAGTTATCCTACAACTGCTGGCAAAACAAACCAGCAACATGTTGCCCTTGCTTGTGGATGTAAAAGAGTCTTTGAAACAAACTATAGGACAACTGTCACGGTAACGATATATTGAAGGCCCCCAAGTACCTAGGACGTACAAAAGCACGATTACTATACGTGTTTAAGTAGGCCATGTTTTATTCAATACTCTCCTACCATGACAAAGAGATATCAGCATGAAAAGCATCAGAAAGCTGAGGGATGTGAATTCAAGTTCGGAATGTTGACTCTGGTGGACAGAGCACTGTCAGACGTTCAGTGTCAGGATCTTAGAGCTTTCGCATACTTTAGCATTCACTACTAATGGCCTGAGTATTCCGACCCACACCATAGGTTTAGGTTTGCGGAGTCTTGGCGCACACAGAACCGTAATATGCTATTCGATCATTTGATTTTTTTAGGATTTTTGAGATGTTTAAGAAAATACGGGTCTTCAATAACCACGCAGGTTACTTCTGTGGTTGCTGCTCTAGAGTTCTGTCTCAGTAGGACCGAGATGCAAGACAGCAATGATATTCGAACTTATTCAGTGAGGAATCATGGTCACCATGTTGCACAATTCTGAAGCGCTGGGCCGATGTACTACGGTCATCAGGCTTTACGGTCGTTGTGCCAGACCTCATCGCTCCTTTGTCTGGTAGCTCTGCTGTTACCTGACTGGAACTGTTTATTCGTCAAGTACAGTGGATGTGATAACTCACGAAATGCCATGAGTTTCAAAAGAGAATTCCTATAACACACAATCCGCTCATGCAATTTCATCCAAGGTCTAAGAGCAGTAAAGAAACTACCCTACTTAAAGAGAGGACATAGTTGGGTTTATAAATTAATATTTGCAAAGATAGAGATAATTATTTTCCACTGAAAGATAGAATTTTAGAAAATGGCTGCATTACAAATCATTTAAATAAAGCCAACTATAACGATTCATAAGGAAAAGGGAGGAAAAGAATGCCTAAAAATCGTGAAAAAAATAACGAAAATAAAAATCAACATGTTGCTGACTTTCCATCTGCATATAGCGCAGCAGAAAATCTATTAGCCATAGACATGGCTAGGCTGTCTATAGTGAGTTGTTCAATTAGCACAGCATCAGGCTTTTCATGCATTTAAAGATTCTTTTTTGCCATATGTCAATCTATTTTCATTAAATTAAGATCTAGGCCGTTGACAGGACTAAAAATCGACTGGAGGGCGTGCTCGGGAGGCTGGCTGTTGTCTGAAATGTTAAGTTATAGTCTTAAATGTTACCAGGTTCCTAGCTTTTTAGAGCTTTGAACAGAGGCATTATCCTGTACAAGTATAGCATTCATTCAGCGTCGGTGGGTGTCTTTGTAGCCAAACTTATAATCCACAATAACCTTGTCCTTGATGGTACCCGTAGTCAACTGTTGGACTGGCTCCATCGACTGTCGATAGTTCTTGAAGTTTGTTGTCGATGCAGTATGCTCTACTAAAAATTTCTTTCCACATATGACTATCTGGGTCGACTTCGTAGGCTTATCTAAAAGTACGACCTCATCGCAGAGGCAAATGCTCATCCAAAATGAGAGCCTGTAATCAATCAACTGTACGTTCTCCTGACTGTTTCTGGATCGTATGATGAGCGTTCATTTTCCTTCATGATAAACTCACTGTACCGCAAAATTATCCCAAAGCTTGAGCCTTATAATATCACTGTCGAGTGGTGTTCACCTAAGTATCTTGATTGGAGGACAGAGGTGAGCATCTCCGTTTTCCCCTCGAGCTCCAGCAATGGAGTCTTTGCAGGCGGCCGCATGGCGACGAGTAATCAGTATCGGAGAAGCACTACCGACAAAGACAACAAAGCTAGTGATGTCCATGACACATTTGTGTCACGTGCCATCCACATCCCTGTCCCAGGTGGAAGTTACAATTGCAACCCGAGTTGGTTGGTCATCGGCGAACATCTCCACCGTGAGCTTTCGAATATTTCCGATTGAACTGGCAGGTCATGGGTCCATAGCTTGATTTTAACTAGGCTTGTTTACAAGTTGATCCGAATTTAAGTCTTGTTGGTGAAGACAAACAAGCGAAAATGGTAATATTTCTTGATTTGAATTGTCACCCATCTCCTGCATCCATGTATTCTTTATTCGTGTATAGGCGGTCCAAAGTGAGCTGCATTTGGCAGTTATTCTTGCATGTTCGTTTTTAAAATGGTCTTTTAGAGGAGTTAATGGGCCCACATATAAAGCGAATCACAAAGTATCCGCGGCCCTCTGATCGTACGGGAAGCGCTGACGAAGACAGTGAGGCGCCTAGTGAGGAGAATATCCGTCGTGTGCTGGCGTTTCGGCTAGATCGCAGTTGGTAGCCAGGAATGGGGAAGCGGACGACGACCTTAACTCTAATCCTAAACTTAACCCTAACTCTAACCTCAACCTTAAACGGTAACCCTAACGGCAATCCCAAACCCTAAACCTAACGAAAATCGTAAACGTAACCGTATCCCTTAGACAAAACCGTAACTGAAAAACCTAACCGTAACCCAAAAACCTAAGCCTAAAGACTTAACCCTAACCCGAAAATCCGAAACCATTAACGGGTACCCTAATCCTAATCTCAAACGTAAAACGGAAGCCAAATGGTTCAGATGTGATTATGGATTCCCTCAAAATAGCATCAATAAACGAACCCCTCCCCCTCCCACCTGAAATACGGATCCCGGCTACCAACTGCGATCTAGCCGGCGTTTCTTGCGGGCATAGCACGTCCGCGCAACACGGGGGACAGTTCAGATCCTTCTTCTGGTGAACCACAACAGCACGTAAAGCACGGCTACCTCAGTCTCATTTGTCCCGGTTGGTACCCCCTTCTCTAATGATAAACATTACTAAGGTGGCAGCTTCTACTCGAACGTTATTTACGTAGGTAGCTGGAGGGATGTTCATCCAAAGGGCAGCATTCTATCATGCTAAAATTGATATGAAATCAAGTTCGCTGCTAATTGCGTTTGACACCCCTTTGAAGAAATATATTCCATTCAAAAGTTTACTGAGAAATTTTGGTCAATGATTCCTAAGTTTTGACACATGTTCACTATGTCAGAGATTGGACGAACACAGGTATGTACATACTTTGATGCGTTTTTATACTAGCTGCATTTGCAATATAATACAGTGGAAGTGAAAGTGACGATTTGTACCCTCGAGCCAGTCTAGGAAACGAAGAAATACGAGCATAAAACTTGTACCTAAAATAAGATGCGAAGTTTGGTATAAATAGTTAGACTACTTACGTAAGGTAATATTCCGGACTGGTATGTAGGTTACCGTAGGCCTAAGGGATTTGCGTAGTACTTGATTTTGTTGGAAACCAAGCGCTTACTATCTAGTAGATACCACTAATATCTTTATTAATATAATAATACGATTCCCACCTCAAGATCGCTCTTCATCGTAGGAGGGATTACACGTTTTCAAGCCGTAAATGTTTTCAAAAAGTTGTTACGAACATCCACAAGATGGAGTTTTGTCCAACCTTGTTGCAACCCCAATTACAACCTCTCTTTTCGGCGGTATAAAGTAATTCATTGGTATTTTGACTGGGCAGGAAATATGATAAGGAGGGCCTGATTAAAACTCAAATAATCCCTGAAGCAACTTTGTGTGCTGCATGTTCGAAAATTTGACTAGTCTTCGTTGTCATATATATACCCGATCGAAACCGACAAGACAATGAGCCTGTGGCTCAGTGTTTAGGCGCGTTGGAATTCTAACCTACAGGTGGCGGGATTGAGTCCCGGGTGTTTCACAACTCAGCACTGGGTATGACTGGCTGATGACGGCTAACAAGTCAGAAATGGTCAGCCCAGTCTTCCTTATCTTTATCGGTGATATTATTCTGCCTTTATTTCGCGCCGGTTGGGGACGAGACTGAGCCCCAAGGCACAACGGGGTGAGTGAGTTCCGTAACACGACCGGTGAACGCCCTTCTATCATCTTTTCGGTCCTTTTGAGGGCCTACGTAATGCGACAAGACGTCTGTCTATCTGTCTGTACTTGCCAACCAATCGGAATGCCCAATACGCACAGGCGTTTCTTTTCACCGGTGGAATAAACGCGCTTGATGCGACTGCTGTTGGTGAAAACCGTGATCATACTGTTCGCGAAATCGTCTGTCAGAATACACCCTCACAAGGAATTACAGGGCCTTCCCGTAGGGTGCTCATAACAAATCCCATTCTTGTTCTTGATAGCAATGACAAGTATGAACACACTAATCTCCGCCACAGTAGAGAGTTTATGCGATGACGGAATCTTCTTCTTTTCACCACCGGTCAATGCTCATGGAAACAACATTTATCGGCACACCACAGACCAGCACCTCAGCTAAGGTCGGCACCAACTACTTGTCCTGACTGTGTCTCCGCTTGCATATGTCTCCCTAAGCATTGCGCTTACAGGTTCACAGCTAACCTAACGTTGCCTTCGACTGCTGTAAATTTCGAATGGCTAAAATGAAACTCGGTTGGACTAGTGAAATGCTCTTTCCGTTTTGTCTTCCAATGATATTACAAGAATTCTGACAGTTGGTAGCCCTTTTTCGGAAACTACTGCTCGACGATCCAACTAACAATGTGTACAAGGTCGGTGTCTTTGTTACTTCTTTGTTGGAGCTGGAAATATTGATATTTTGGACTTGGAGAATTTCCTTTGGCCATTTTGTTTTCCTCAGTCAGGACAGGCATGATACCTTCAGTGTCTTCAAGAAAGTTAGCCTAAGACTCAGGGAAGGATGAGTGAATTTGAATGGTGTTAAAGGCACATTTTTTATCCTTACGAAAGACAGGACTGCTAATATTAATTGACCACTCTGGTCACTTCTTGAAACTTGGCCTTATATTGCCATCACTCGCCATTTTGCAGATTTTGAGAGTTACCTCGGATGAGAACGCTTCCAAACTCATCGACCTGGAAACTCCCTTTACGTGTTTGTGGCTTCTATGTGGAGATGGAGAATTAGATAACGGTAAAGGATCTAAAGACGAGTTAGCCAAGGTAAGCTGTGAGGTTTTTGGTGGTAGGAAGTAGGTGCGGCCTAAAGGATGATTTATACGATTAAAGTCATTTCACAGACTCTTCTGCCAAATGGCGTATTAGAGATGGAAATATGCGTACCGTTTTTCCCCTTAGATATGCTTGCGTAAATGTTTGGGTAAAAAACGCAAAATACGGAGAAAATATTTCCGAGAGATTTGCCCATTGTTTGTCTTTATAGCAAAAATTGTCGCGCACTAGGAAAGTTATTAAGGTTACCAATAGCAGCTCATAATTGCTCGGCCAATTAGTAAAACTAAATTCAGTTTTTTAAAAAGCGACAATGAAGGTGAGTTCACATGTGGGCTTTTATTACTGCCAACAACCTCTTGTGAACAGATTTTTTTAATTGTTTAGTAGTGACTATCGGTATATGTGCAATAACAATCAGAACGAAAACTATCGGTCCTGTAGGTGATCCGGAGGACAAGCAGTCTTGAACTTTAAGACCAAAAGTTATGGGGTGAGATCAACAGGTTTTCCGAACAGCTCTCAATTCCAAGGCCTCGCCTATTTTCGCTAAGGCCCCTATTGGTATATAAACCCCATTTTAACGAGCTCGATGCAAAGAAACTGAGAAGGCTTTCCCTCACGCAGCAATAGAAGATCTGCGAAACACGTGCCGGACTGTTTAGCTGGTAACTGTGCTGTCGGTATGGTGAGTCACCTGACATGTGTATACTACAGAGTGCCTGTTGGCAGCTTATAAATCTTACGCAGTCATCCAACTAGAGCTGGTGGCCTTTGGCACAGATATTCACCTCGACTTTCGGACTGAGTCTAGAAAGGTTTGCTCAAATGATTTGCGCCCAGTTAAAGCCTTTATTCCTGGAGAGATTAAAAAGTTGAAATTTCGAATCTGCACGGGAACGCTGGGGGACACTAATGAGTCCAACTCCTCGCAGCCGCCATGGAGCGATAGGAAACGGTAGAGGGGCGCTCACCGATCGTTTTAAGAGAACGCATCTGTTCGGTTGTGCTTTAGGGCTCTCTCTCGAGCCCAACTAACAGCCGCACAGTGGCTCATAGTATGGGCGAAATAGTCTTACCGACATGGACAAGGGAGTCTTCCTCGTATTTGTCAGTAGTGCTAGTTTGCCGATAGTAAATCGGTAAAAACGTGTCTGGACCTTTAAACAGTACCTATTTTGTTATTATTTTGAGTCGTGAGGCACTTACACTTTACGGCACAATTGGTCCCCTGAAAAAAATTTTGTCAACTCAATTGTTCACTTTCTGCGCTGAAGTGCGCCAACATTTCCGAGTTTCCGCACTTACTGACTTTATAATTCATTCTTCCCCGTTTGTTGTGTAGTTTCTGCCAGACGTGCTGGAGACCGATCACATGAAATGTTGGCTGAAATTCTGAAATTAGTTTTCGACTAGGAAGGATTACTTGGGCGCGAATGTAATACCTATTATCTGGCGGCATAATCTCATAACATTTCGGACCCGGCAGTATGTCATCTTTTGAATACACTGCTTATCAATCTCCTGTAGAAATTTTCCTCGGTAAAAAATGACTATTTAAGTAGCATGCATTTTTCCCATTGATTTTCGATGGTCTTTCAAATTCAAATATGACTTATAGAAACGACAGACACAAATACGCTTTCTTTCAGTCAATTAATAGTGAATCACGTCTTCTTTATATTTTATACTCAAGGAAGGAGTATAATTAGGATTTGAAAAAGTTTTTTAATTGCCGAATAATTTGGAGCCTGATCATTCATTGCATTAGCGCTTAGTGGTTTTTGTCTACAAGGGGCATGCGTTTCGCGCAAAGAAAATCACATATTTTTCTAAGCCTTTAAAAAGTTATCATACAGAGTCCATGAAATTTCGCAATGGATGCGGACTGTGTTTAACGTTTCCTGAGGAGCTGTGGCAAACTGCCAGGTACTGTGCTATGTGAATGGACATTACGCGGTCTTACAAAATCACAATTCGAAACTTCTGAAACCTACTTATACTCCTTCCTTGAGTATAAAATATAAAGCAGACGTGTTTCTTTATTAATTGACCGAGAGAAAGCATATTTTTTATCGTTTCTATAAGACACATTTGAATTTGCAAGACCATCGGAAATCAATGGGAAAAATGCATGCTGCTTAAGTAGTCATTTTTTACCGTGTACGGTTTCTGCAGCAGATTGAAAAGCAGAGTATTCAAAAGCTGACATCCTGCCGAGTGCAAAATGTTATAAGATTATGCCGCTAGATAAGAAATATTACAACCGCGCCAAAGTAATCCGTCCTAATAGAAAACTCATTTCAGATTTTTAACCAACATTCCATGACATCGATCACTCACTTTATTATTTTCATCCCTCAGTTAACTGGATCTCTTTTACGATTTACCTCTGAAGAATTTGCGGGGGAAGAAATTACACGAAAGTCATCTTTGTTGCCTGCCTACCATGGACTTCAGTTGACGGCAAAAATATCATTAAAATATCTGTGAATGTTAAGTGCCAGTTAAGTTGCGTTTTTGTCTAATTTTTTTCGAAGGACATTTCCAAAGTTTGTCAGGCTAGTAGTCAGGTTTTTTGCTGTATTGCAACAAAATTAGTAATTTTTAACATCATGTATACACACATTGGCAAATATTCCTCATCCATATTCCTAAGGAGCATATAATGGTACTTTTAGTGTACAACGAATAAAAGCGTCGTCCTGCTTGCTCGTGTGCCGTTTTGGTTCACCATGCTTAATTCTAGGCAATATTCTACTATTGATAATTCTCCACAGAGTAGCCTGACTAATACTGAAAATATTAGTCAACAGCTCACACGGCAGTCCTTCAGCTGCCAATTTTCGCATGCTCTCAAAATCGATATCTTCATCGCACGACGTGACATATAAAATTGATATCATTCCAAGGATACTCAACACATATTTGTTCACGCCTGTTAATTCTCGGTGCGGTAAAACAAACTACTGTCAAACAGGTTTATTACTGCATTTCATGGCATAAAAATCCATAATTTTGCAAAAAAGGAAGATACTGTGACTTCGCATACTTAACTTTACCTGCTTTTCATGGATGCAAAATCCCATTCTACGAATTCAGAAGGGATGTACTTGGCAATTTTCCTGTTTACGTTAATGTTTCGTTAGATCACAACGCGCAAAAATGAGGGGTTTAGAAGTGTAACATTAAATGACACAGGAAATTAATGAGTACCAGGTAACGTCCCATTTTGCATAATTCTCGCCAGTTTACCTTCCATAAAGCAGATTTGAAATAAAGTCTTATTTAATAAAAGGTCTTCTGTGTCTCGAGTCAATTCAATAAACAAAAATAACCACAACAATTATATGCGATGCTACCCACTCAAATGCCGCTCACGATAATCCATGTGTTAGGTTATTTACTGTACACATACCCTCTGCTTTCTTGGTAGTTCACTTGTTAATATACTTTTAGGGAAATCGCCCTATCACCCTCCAAAGAGAATACAATGATCTGATCTTTTTTCATATTCGCCTATATAAGTAGACAACAAGTTATTTTTTCAGGTAAAAATACTAGAATCCCCGGAGCCTTAAATAATTACTTCCCTATTGTAACCTTATCCTCCATAAAGTAAACGCCTATTATAACGGAAGAAACAGATTTTCTGGAGTCCATTTCCTGATCCTCAATCAGCCAAACTATCAAGCGTGAACAAATGTATGCCATTGAAAGTCATCTGTTCTGCGATATTCGCTAACATCTTGAAAGCCGTTTCCTACCGGTGTATCCTTCCATTCTAGGCAACTTTATTAGAATTCTTCAGCACCAAGATGGATCAGGACCTCCCAACCTCCTTGTCACCATTTTACAATTATTATTTGTGCTTTGTCGATTCCTGATCAAAGAGCAATGGTCAAAAGCAAATGAGAACCCTCAGCTGTGAACTTGCACGAATGATAGCAACACCGGTCTCCGGCAAGTCTCTCAACATCTGCGTACAATGCCATTTTAAAGGTTTCTGGTAACCAGACTGAACGACGTAGCCGTTGCATCACTTCAAGTAAACAAAAAATCATGTTGCTACGACGCTCTGAAAGTGTGCTGCCAATTAACGTGACCAGTTAGTCCACGTACTTCAGCGATAGGTTATAACTACCCCTTCTTAGTGAGGTTCTATGGCCGATGTAAGAGCTGAATGAGTGAAGACTAGCATGCATGGCTTGAGAGTCCAGCATCTGTATTGTAAGGGTTGCTTAAGTTTACGCCGTGTCAGCTCCCTGCACCCACTCTCATTCCTGGTTGTCTTCGCCTTACTTTTCTAAGTGTGGGATCGGGGTAGACGCTTCAAAAGCCTCCTTCACCAGAAACCATTTTGGGAGCAAATACACCAAAATTAACTCGAAGCCATGGTGACCATTGTATGCACTCGTGCTAGGTGAACAGTGTATATGGACTTGGGGCCAATGAATGCTGACACATACAACGGGGTCAAATTTATACACTGACCTTCGCGGGATCCCGCTTTGTGGAAAGTGAGTGGGCCCCGAACATGGGCTTCTATTTGCGTCATCTCGAGCATAGCAAGTGGCACCTGTTCAGCACCTCTGGCTTGATATGGAAGACTTCTTACCTTCAGCTAAGCTGCCCAAATCCCTACCTGAGAACGGCTAACTCCTGAACTTGAAAAGCAATGCCTCTACTGGATGCAGCCGTGTCGTACATCACTTTCATTTCCGGTTTTCCCTTTGAAATATAATGGGTCAAAGAACCCAGTATGGTGATTAAATGCACCATTAGCGAGACAGAAGGGTGTACTCGTTTGTCATGCTTAGACAAACAACGATTGCCTAGTAAGCAGCCACGTGGAACTCATCAGTGGTCCATCTGTTTTTCGTGTCCGCGTGATGTCTGTGATGATGCCGTCGCGTCTGCTGCTGTTCAGCCTGCGAATAGCAGAAGGGATCGTAGATAAGCTTCAAATGATCGTTTTGTTCCCCCGGCTTTGTATGTCCCTCTTGAAGTTTGCTTACCCTTCATACCGACAGCTGACCATTCCAAGTCCCTGAGGTCCTTAAATCGCAGAATTTAGGCAGTATGTTATTACCGACAAAGACAAGGGAGACTGAAATGGCCATTTCTGGCTTGTTAGACGTCGTCAGCTAGTCATACCCAACTCCAAAGTGTGGAACATACGAGGCTCGAACTCGCAACCTGTTACTTAGAAGTCCACGCCTCTAACCACTGGGCCACGAGCCCGTTGCCCTATCGCTTTCGATATACAGTGGTGAGCGTCCCCTACCATCGCAGAATTTGTCAGGCTTGCAACAAGTACTTAGTTTCGCGTTTTGAAGAAGGCTGACTTGCCAGAGACTTTGCATAAGCCCCGATTGGTTGATGGCAGTGAACTTATATCATGCAATGAAAGGTAACGGTTGGGTTCCAAGCAATGTTTGCATGGACAATCTCTACTGCGATAGGACGCACAACAGTTAGAGACCAAACGCATGCTGAAAATTTCGGCGATCGAATGATGCTCAGCTAGTGTGAAATGGGATTGATTGGCACGAGGATGGAAAGCACCACTTTTGGATCAATTTAAGTCTATCAAGTCTGAGCAAGCCTGACCACAAGATCGTTTTTCTTCCTTTCGAAAGAAATGAATTATGACAAAATGCTGCAATTCAGAGTCCTTAGCCTAGTCGGTGTCGCCGCAAATATGTATCTTTACACTTATGCTAAGCTAGTTCGGCTCCGTCTGCACCGCCCGAGCAGACAGAACTGCAGTGGTTTCTGAGAGAAAGGAGACTCGGTCACTTGAATGATAATCTTATTTCGTCTGAAGTTTTTGATTCACTCCCTAACCTATAATCCGAGAAGACAACAGATAAGTACCGGGAACGAAGAGGGGGTGCGGTATTTACAGGATGTATCTGATACGTAACCAGACACCTACCACCATTTGTGTCTCACACCCAGTGCGGGTGTTCATACTTGGTCACTTCTTCTGAGTCTTTAATTGTTGTCATTCCAGTATCGTTGTGTACGGTCAACGTGATAATTACCGGACGTTTGATTCACTAGCACTTTTTACCTGTGCGTATCCCCTGTGAATAACTGACCTGTGCAGGCGGGATTTGAACACCATATAGGGAGCGGTGATCGCGGTATCTTTTCGTGGACTGCGGACCGGAAAGTCCGACTCAAGCGGTTTCCGACTGAGGCGGTTGTCACCTCTTGTGAGAATTCCGGCCGGCGTGTCGGACTCACATCTGGTGAACCGCGACTCCTCACTGTTAATACGTGTTCGCTCATACTATCCCAAAGCCCCCTCCCAGTTCTCCAACGCTGTTAGCTCAGATTTCTGGATTCGACGGGCCTGACGAATAAAATTCTTGTACAACGACCGATTATGCCTCTTAACTGCTTTTTGAAGCCCGCCTCTGCGTGTATCAGCCCCTTATTAGTCATTGTTTGAACTCCTGATCCACTTCATTAAGACGGGGTTGGCAGGGTTTTTCGAGGTTAAATATGATTTGAATTTACGAACTCGGCGCACAGGGTGGTACCATATATGTTCATTACCAGTTACGATTGATCAGATCAAACAAGTAGTTTGATATCAATTTTTGTTTTGAATGCATGGGCAGAAAGCGTATTTTGCAGAAGCTAGTTGACATTCTTGGCAGCATCGCGACACGCCCATGGTTAGTGTCAGAATCCCCTTCTCTTATACACCAGTCTCCCTTGTCTCTATTGCTAATCTCACTCCGCTCATACTACTAGCCGCCATGCAGCAGCTTTCGGGCTTGGGATCGAGCTCAAAAGCACAAACCAGGACCAGTGTGTCTTATAACGCGATCGGTGCGCTTCCCTCTATCATTGTTAATATACCCGATCGCAACCGACAGGATGAGTCCATGGCTCAGTGGTTAGAGCCCCCAAAAGGGGCCACGCGGCAGATGCGTTGGACCAACACGGAGGCCACATCGGGTTCTGGCAGGCGTTGTCGAGAATGCACACCCATAACAAAAGCCAACATTCGGGGTGCGGTGACAGGCCCAGTCGCCGGCTCACGTCACGCCAACTGGGATCCCTGCTGCCCCCATTTTTGTTGTTGGTTAAAATCCTGGTCAAGTGTTTGTTTCGAACCAAGGGATGTGGTTGTACACCTAGGTGCGGGTGCGATCGTGCCAGCCTCCGGTCTTCTTGACTTTGTCTTGACACCGGACCCAGGTGGTTTCTACAGGGGATTGAAAAGCAGTGTATTCAAAAGCTGACATCCTGCCGGGTCCGAAATATTATAGGATTATGCCGCAAGCTAATCAGTATTACAACCGCGCCTAATTAATCCTCCCTTATCAAAAACGCATTTCAGAATGTCAGCCAACATTTTCTGAGCTCGGTCCCTCACTGCAGATACAGTGGTGGAGGGACGCTTACCGATCGTTCTTACGAAACGCACTCGTTCTGTCGTACTTTACGGGCACTCTCTCGAGCCCAACCGGCAGCCTTACAGCGGCGCATGATGTAGGCAGGATATCATTACCAAGAAAGACAAGGGAGACTTGATTGGCCATTTCTGGCTTATTAGCCGTCGTCAGTCAGTCATACCCAACCCCGAGGTGTGGAGCACTTGGGATTCGATCTCGCGGCCCGTTGATTAGAAGTCTAACGCCGCTAACCACTGAACCACGGACTCGTTGTTCTGTCTGTTCCGATCAGGAATATACAATGGTAGAGAGGCGCTCACCGATCGTTGGGTATAGCTGGCTGACGACAACTAATAAGCCATAAATGACCACTCCAGTCTCCCCAGTCTTTGTCGGTAACAATATTTGGCCTAGAAATAGATACGTTTGTCGATATCGGGTTTATCTTTATCAACGGATCATATCATTATACATATTTTAAGGCAAGCTAATATTAAAATATCACACCATAGTCGAAATTGCAGGCATGTCAGTGCCTATTTTGAGATGAAGTAACGAGATTACCAATTCAGGATTAGGGGGTGTCATCATGCTCACTTCCTTAATCACAGCGTGCATTGATCATTTAGTATTTAGACAAGGATTGCTTATATACCTTTCTCCGGCAGGACACATAAATAGGAACGAAATTATTTTTTACATTTATGGTTGGTGATTGGGTTAAGATCAGGGTTAGGCGTAGTGTTTTGGGTTAGGCTTGACATTAGGGTTAGGATACAAGAATAAGTACCCTTTCTGGAATTAAGTGCAAGGGGACGTTCCTATACCGGTATATATCTTAAATGATCCGCACTTTGGGTTGGGTATGACTGGTTGATGACGGCTAATAAGCATAAATGACCATCCCGGTATCCCTCGTCATTGTCGGCACTACCTCGTGCATATACATTTATTTCGAAAGAAATAAGTTCTTTGGGAAATATAAACAAATTTATTGCAAATTTTCGACTTTGGTTCCACAAGTCGTCTTCAGACGTGAAGTAAGTGTGCGAAACAGTCAACATTTAAACATGCCGAAAAATCAATTTGCCTTGCCACTCCTGCTGGTGTAAT